GTCCAGAGGCCCACGGAGTACCGGTCGCAGTTGAGGTAGGCCCGCACCGTGTAGAAGGCCTTGTGGAACTGCCGCTCGATGTCCGTCAGCTCCTCAAACACCTTGTTGGCCGACCACAGCAGCACCTGCAGGGCGGCACCCATGGCCCCTGGTCACACCCACATGCCTGTCTGGGCACCACCCCTCACCCCGGAGACGCGCGTGCACAGCACCTGCTGCAGGACCCCCAACAGCATCTCTGAGGGGCACCAGCCCCCACTCCTACGGCCTGACCCCGGGGCCTGGGAGCTTCCTGGGGGACGAGGCCTCCAGCTCCAGCCATGTCCCTGCCCCACGCGGCCTGGTTGGCCTCACACCGGGTCCGTGATGAGTGATGGAAATTGTCATCAGTGGCCATGAGCTGGGAAGGCACAGCCCGGACCAGCCCGCCCTGGTCAGACGGTGGGGGCAGGGCTCTGAGGACACGAGCTCATGGTGTCCTGGGCCAGCAAGGTGAGGCGAGGGTCCCCGAGGCCCTGGGTCACCCCCCCTGGGCCTCAGCTGATGGTTAGGCTCAGACTAACTCCGAGGGGAGCCCCTCCCCATTTCTCCGTCTCCTCAGCCACAGCCCAAAGGCAGGGCACCTCCTGGCCCCAGCCTGTCACACCCGCTCCCCCGCCCCCACACCTGTCCTTGGGCCTGAGCACTGCCTGGGGCCAAGCCCCTCCTGCAAGATCATCCCCTGCAAGGCTTCCCTGCTGCCAGCCCCCCGGGGCCCCTGCGGCCCCCACTGTCACCGGCCGGGACTGGCTCTCATGGCCCCACCTGTGTCCTCCTGCCAGGAGGCAGCCCACTGCCCACGTAGACCAGGAGTTCCTGAATGGTGGCCTGCTTCCTCTATGTCCCCGCTCCCCCCTGACCCGGCCCAGGGCCTTTGCACAGGCTGTGCCCTGGGCCTTCACAGCCGCGTTCATGGAGCCAGACCCCGACAGCGCCCCTTCCTTCCCGACCTCAGGAAGCAGTCTCAGGGGCTGGCCACTCGATCACAGCTGTGAGGTCAGGAGGCCCCGCAGTCCCACCCAGAGCCCCAGTGCTTGCTGACGGCGCAGGGGGCGTGAGAGCCGCTGACCATCTGCGCTGCGGGCCCCGTGCCAGCTGCCCCTGGAGTCTACACGTGAGTCACCCACACCTGCCACCCACCTGTGTCGCCCACGTGTGTCGCCCACGTGAGTCGCCCACACGCGTCAGCTGGTGGACGAGCACCTCCATCCTGCTGCGAAAGGCCTGGGCACAGCCCCCACACACTTGTGTGAAGACAATCCCCCCCCCCGCTCGTTCCCCAGGAGCATCGAGGGGAGACCCACCACTCCCACCCGGCCCTCCGTCTGTCACCCCTGAGCCCCGATTAGACCAGGGACCTGTCACCGTGCGGCACCCTTGCCAGGAGCAGGTTCTGTAAGAGCCGGAGGAATGGGCGCAGGGTTGGGGTGTGTCTGCGGCGCTCTGACCCCAGCAGCCTGGCCCCCAGGCACCCCCGCCCTCGCCTCCTGTCTCTGTTTCTAACTCTGGGAGCTGAGACACGCAGGTGGATGTTTAGGCAGCTGCCTCGTGTAGCCGCGAGGTCGGCGTTAGAGCAAATAGCCCTGAAGGCCCTCTGCCCCAGTCAAGACCCGGCCCTGTGCAGAGCTGCTCTGACTCGGGGTGTCCTGGGACTTCACCCCAAGGCCTCACACAGGGCCTGTGCTCTGTCCCTCTGCCCAAACCTCCTCCCCACCCCTCCTGTGGGGGGGCCCTGGGCTGTTTCTGCTCGATGGCGACGACTCATGTCAGGTGTGGGCGTGACCTCTCTGGAGAAGCTAGAACCTCAGACTCTTTTATTTTTTTAATCTTCAACCCGGAGTGAGGATATTTTTCTCATTGATCTTTAGAGACAGTGGAAGGGAGAGAGGAGGGGGGAGAGGAACATCAATGTGACTGAGACACAGCGATTGGTTGCCTCCTGCACATGCCCCAGCTGACCGGGGCTTGGGATCGAACCCGCAGCCGAGGTGCGTGCCCTTGATTGGGAACAGAACCTGAGACCCTTTGGTCCCTGGGCAGACTCTCTGACACGGAGCAAAACTGGCCAGGGCTCCACCCAGCGTTATTAAAGGTAAATGACCTACGTTTAAAAAATGGAGATTACGTTAAAACTATACCCACATATCCACTCATATAGGTATTTGTATTCCCTTCCAATCATTCACCTTTTAAAAAAATATATTTTTATTGAGTTCAGAGAGGAAGGGAGAGGGAGAGAAACATCAGTAATGAGAGAGCATCACTGATTGGCTGCCTCCTGCACACCCCACACTGGGGAGGGAGCCCGCACCCGGGCCTGTGCTCTGATCGGAATCGAATCGTGGCCTCTCGGTTCATAGGTCGGTGCTCACCCCCTGAGCCACACCGGCCAGGCTCAACGATGTCTAATAACCAACATCAAAGCAGATAACTGTTCACAACCACAAATGTCAAACCGGCCCCTAACGCTGGCATCACGCGTTCTATTAATTGGCCCACGTCTGCGGGGCCGTGACCAGACCGATGTCCACTCCTCTCTGGGCAGGAACAGGAACCCTCAGCCCCCTCAGCCCCGTCCTGGTCGCCACAGGCCCTCGGCTGTGTGACCGGCGGCCAGTGCTCCTGCCGGACCCGGGCTAAGTTACCCAGTCGGAGGCGCTGCCGTTTGTAGCAAACATCACAGGATGGCAGCTTTTATTCTATTCTCATTGCAGTGACTGTCCCCGAATTCCCAGGGGCCGCACGGAACCCAGGCTCGTGTGCACCCCAGGTCAGCCTGCACTTAGGTGGCAGCACCTGATGACACAGCAAACCTCCCACCGGAGTCAAGCCAGGCCCTCGGAGGCAGGGGGCACGCAGGGGCCGAGGCTGCGTGTCCCCCTTTCCCACAGTACAAGGCCCCCCTCTCCCTCTAGCCCCCACGCCCTCGCTCAGGGGCAGGCAGACGCTGTCCTGTGTCCCGTGTGGCCAGGGCCAAACCACCAGGGATCTCGGCCTCAGAGCAGCAGGACTGTGTTCCTGTCGTCCGTGCACAATCCCCTGACTCCTTCCAGAGGGGGTTGGGGCAGCTGGCAGGCAGGGCAGTGCCCTCACACCCGCCTGGGCCCCAGGTGAGGGATGGCAGCCCAGGTGCCCGGCCCAGCCTCTGATGTCGGCCGGCACACACAGCACCACACCATGACTCCTGGTACCTGCCCAGGTGGGCCCGCCCCACCCGCCTTTGTCCAGAGCGAGCTGGGGGCCTGGACCCCCGGCTGTGGCCAGGAGGCAGGGCCAGGCGGGTACCTGTCCACGGCGCGTCTCACAGTTGTGCAGGTAGCTCAAGTGGTAGATCTTCAGGTTCAAGGCCCCAAAGTTCAGGTACTTCAGGAAAACCTGGAACGGAGGGTCAACCACAGGCGTTAAAGCCTGGCTTTCAGGCGCCCACAGACAGAGGGACGGAGCCACAGCCACTCGCACCCCCTGCCGGGGGGCCCCGCACTCACGTCCTCGTCCTCGCTGGTGAAGCCCGGCCCGTCCAGCTTGTTCACGGCCATGACCACGGCCACCACGTCCTTGCCGTTCATGATGGGCGTGGCCAGGAGGCTCCTCGTCTCGTAGCCCGTCAGCTCGTCGGCGAAGGTGCTGAAGTGGGGGTTCTGTGAGGTGACGGAGAAAAGACAGAGGCTGTTGCTCTGTGGGCCTGGGCTCAGGGTGGGCTGTGGAGGACCCAGGTCAGTGCTGACGCCCAGCAGCCCTGCCCCGGCCTGGGGAGCCCGGGAAGCTCAGAGGACGTGCCACGGGCCTGGCTCAGTCCCTGTCACCCCACCTTGGCTTCCAGACTCCGCAGTCCTCACAGCACCCCCACCCCAGTGCCCCACCTGGGCTGTGGGCAGAACTGGGTCCCCCCACACCTGACACCTGGGCGCCCTCCTACTCCTGGCTGCCGCTCCTCCTGCCTTCCACTGCTGGGGCCAGACCCAAGGGCTCCTCCCCCAAACATATGTGTGGCTGAACTAAGGGGAGCACAGTCCGATGGGGCGTGTTCGGGGGACAGCCAGCGGGTGGGTGTCGAGGGTTCCTTGGGGCCCCAGGATCTGTCCAAAGCCCCCACAGGCCTCCCAGGCCTGTGCGCCAGCTGGGGTCTCCCCACGGGGCTCCCACCACCCCAGCACCTGCCCCAGGGGGTCCCACCACCTCAGCACCTGCCCCAGGGGTCCCACCACCCCAGCACCTGCCCCAGGGGCTCCCACCACCCGAACACCTGTCCCAAGCAGGTCCCTGGTGGGGAGGGAGGGGCTGGAGGTTCTGTCTCCACAGGGGCAGGGTCCTCAAGCCCTGACTGGGCCCCGACCAGGGGTCCCCGAGGTGACTCGGACTCTGTCCTTCAGAGGGATGTTCCGGCCTCACCCCCTTCCCGATGCGACGTGTTTCACACGAGGCCAGAGTGAGCGGGTTCAGTGCTCAGCTCTGACCGCAGGACGGGCAGCGCTTGGCCAGTGAGTGCGGGTCCCGTGTCTGAACC